GGTCTTTATGGTGAAATCTGTGCTTGAAATTCACTACTCAACTGAAGGACATTACAGATAATTGTATGTGTGGGGTAAAACCAGAGATGGGGTAATCATTCAAAAAATTGTTAAGAACTACACTGAACAAAAACATGTAAAGTGCTGGTCCCATGTTTCATGAGCTGAAATAAAAGATCCCAGAAATGTTCCATACGAACAAAAAGGTTATTTCTCTCAAATGTTATGCACAAATTTGTTTACATCCCTGTTAGTGAGCATTTGGTATTTCTGTCTGTAATAAAGCCCTTTTGTGGGGAAAAAACTCATTCTGATTGGCTAGGCCTGGCTCCCAAGTGGGATGGCCTATGCCCTCCCAGGCCCAGTCCATGGCTGCGCCCCTGCCCAGTCATGTGAAATCCATAGATTAGGGCCTAATTAATGTATTTCCTTATATAAACTAACTCAGCAAAATATTTTAAATTGTTGCATGTCGTGTTTACATTTTTGTTCAGTATATTATTGCACTCAGAGTGAGGCCATGCAACCTATTATGGTACTTGTTACGATTTATTTATTTTACTCCTGAACGTATTTAGGCTTGCCATAACAAAGGGGTTGAATAGTTATTGACTCAAGATATTTCAGATATTCATTTTTTATTATGAAAACAAAATTCCACTGACATTGTGGGGTAATGTGTGAATATCAGTGACACAATCTCAATTTAATCAATTTTAAATTCAGGCTGTAACACAACAAATGTGGGAAATTCAAGGGGTGTGAATACTTTCTGAAGGCACTGTATATCCGGTCTATAAGATTTTCACATTAGCTAAGACTTTAATGGAATGCAGGGTCGCTACTATACTATATAATAGCACAGTAGCAGAACAAATGCATTAAGATATGAAATTGGTTTCTGCTCATTGCCAGTGGAGCGGTTCTGACACTCATTTGTCGCTTGCCAATGAGCTCCCTCTACTACTGATAAGCACTAGAAGTAAATGGGGAGGAACATTTTAAAAACAAAACCTACTCCGGAATCAGGAGGGTATCTGCAATACAACTTAGACATCTAGGCCTATTCGCTCTCCTTTGTCCAGGCATAATCAGAAAGAAATGAAAGCCGGCTTCGATTGAGGCAGGACATTTTCAAAGTAAATGATGCACAAATGCCACGTACGTTAGTTACACATAATTCATTTAGAATCTGACAAAGCATTGCCCTTTAAAATTGAAAAAATGCCTATTGAAATTAATGAATGCACCGTCATAAAAGCTGTAAATGATGTAATACATAAGAGCAGCAGATAAAGCTCAAGTCATTTCTGGAGAGCGCACTTCGCTAGCCTAGGCAGCCGATAGGGCTTTAGATCTGCACAATCGCCTAGCTTTAATGGCGAGAAGGCAGAAGAAAATAGGAAAATAAGTGTACTTCCTTTCTGAAACAACTTTCCACCACCATTTTCAGACAATTTTGGGTGTTACACACCCTTGGCTGAACACTGTACAACATCCTAAATTGTCTGAAAAGGTTGGTGGAAAATTGTGTTTCATAAAGAAAGTACGCATATTTTCCCTGTTTTTTTCCCCCACCTTCTCGCCATTAAAAGCTAGTTAACTAGGAAAATTATGCCTTTGCGGCCTGAATAGAGGATGCTTTATGTACGAGCCGGTCTACTGGGGACACGAGTGTATTACCGGGAATGCACATCAAGTCTAGACGATTGTGCAGATCTAGCACCCATGCACTATCGGCTGCCTAGGCTAGCACTTAGCTTGGCACTGGCCTTGGTTAGCAATGTTCGGAGGCACTAATGTACACTGAACAAAAATATAAACGCAACAAGTAAAGTGTTGGTCCCATGTTTCATGACCTGAAATAAAATATCCCAGAAATGTTCCAAACGCACTAAAAGCTTATTTCTCTAAAATCTTGTGCACCATTTTTTTTTACATCCATGTTAGTGAGCATTTCTCCTTTGCCAAGATAATCCATCCACCTGACAGGTGTGGCATATCAAGAAGCTGATTAAACAGCATGATCATTAAACAGGTGCACCTTGTGCTGGGGACAATAAAAGGCCACTCTAAAATGTGTGGTTTTGTCACAACACAATGCCACAGATGTCTCAAGTTGAGGGAGCATGCAATTGGCATGCTGACTGCAGGAATGTCCACCAGAGCTGTTGCCAGAGAATTGAATGTTAATTTCTCTACCATAAGCCGCCTCCAATGTTGTTTAAGACAATTTGGCAGTATGTCCGACAGGCCTCACAACTGCAGACCACAACAGAGTGCCCCATGGTGGCGGTGGGGATATGGTATGGGCAGGCATAAGCTACAGAAAACGAACACAATTGCATTTTATCTTTGGCAATTTGAATGCACAGAGATTCCCTGACAAGATCCTGAGGCCCATTATTGTGCCATTCATCCCCCACCATCACCTCCTGTTTAAGCATGATAATGCATGGCCCCTTGTCGCAATTGATCTATCCACAATTCCTCGAAGCTGAAAATGTCCCAGTTCTTCCATGGCCTGCTTACTCACCAGACATGTCACCCATTTTAAGCATGTTTGGGATGCTCTGGATCAACGTGTACGACAGTGTGTTCCAATTCCCGCCAATATCCCGCAACTTCGCACAGCCATTGAAGAGGAGTGGGACAACATTCCACAATCAACAGCCTGATCAACTCTATGCGAAGAAGATGTGTCGCACTGCATGAGGCAAATGGTGGACAAACCACAGTGACTGGTTTTCTGATCCATGCCCCTACTTTTTTTTTTTGGTATCTGTGACCAACAGATGCATATCTGTATTCCCAGTCATGTGAAATCCATAGATTAGGGCCTAATGAATTTATTTCAATTGACTGATTTCCTTATATGAACTGTAATTCAGTAAATTCTTTGAAATTGTTGCTTTTATATTTTTGTTCAGTATATATTGAGAGCTACAACTCACTCAAGGCCTACACATCACAATACGCTAATAGCCTTACCGCTGATAGATTTAAGACATGGCATTTAAGAGGAGTCATAAGGCACACTAAAGACTCATGTCACTGACTATTGAGTGCATCAACTGCACTGTTCATAAGAATAATTGTCAATTATTCAACAGACTTCAATTGGACATGCCATTACTAATGTACTTCACAGGTGAACTCAGCTTTCAATAACATGAACTGTATGTAGGCCTACTGAGTTACTTGTTCAATACACTTGTGTTTGATATTTCGATACAACCATTATGTTTGAGAATGGGATGTAGATCTTTGGAATGCATCATGCAATGTTTCTCTGCATTCCAAGATGTAGGTATTCAGGACAGACAGGTCATTGGGTCTACCTGACCACTTTGGATAACTTTCTATCATTTAAAAACAATGGTGGTGAATAATTTGCACATGATAGGCTACACTTGGAAATTAAAAGTTGTGTACAGTACAATACTGGTAGTGCTCTGCTATAACAAGGTCCCCCCGTTTTGGTTTTTGCCCTAACACTACACAGCTGATTCAAATAATCAAAGCTTGATGACTTGGTTATTTGAATCAGCGGTGTAGTGTTCTGGCAAAAACCAAAACGTGCACCCAGGTGGGCCCAGGACCGAGTTTGGGAAATCCTGTGCTATAGTGACTAACGTCATCCGACCAATCCTACCCTAGTAGCTACGTAGCTCGAGCAGTTGACGCCACAAAGACCGTAGCGCGCGAGTAGGCTTCCTGGCACAAATGTCAATCTTCCTAGAGAGGACTCAACACACTAAACCCCCACCAAAAATAAGCGGGGTATTTTGACGTGGTTTACCTGCAATTCGGCTCGCTCCACCTCCCATTGCGCTCTATCCACCTCGAAGCGGGCCCATTCGTGTTGCAGAAAGTGCAATATGCCCGGAATGTTGTAATGAGCCCTGGCCGCCTCTCCGCCACCGACGTCGCCTGGCTGCTGCGGTCCTTTGCCAGCGCCAGGCAAACCCGAGTTGTTGTTGTTGTTAAAGAACACGCCGGGCCCTGCCTGTTCGTCCATGCCCAGGCCAGGTGTGTGGGTTCGGTTCGCGCAAGCTGGCACGACTGTGCTCAGACAGATGGGTTTTCCTTTAGCCGCCCCTGTGATATGAAATGGAAAGGAAATCGCTACCTACAGCTCTCTCTACTGGGCAGGCACACGCATGTCTGAGCAGCCAGCTGTCTATTGGTGACGTTCACACTGAGCTCCCACCCACATCCAGAGTTTTCCTTACCCATTGGTCGATTTCCACGATTCACACTGGAATAAGCCAATCGGATATAAATGCGCGTTGTGTTGACAATTGTTGCATCCTACGCATGATGGAATTTGAAGTTCAAAGAAGATAGAGCTGCATTTTTCACCCTAAAATGCGCCCTTTTTCTTTACTGTCTTTTTCTTTAATTGTCCTACGAAGTAGATTTTTTTGTATCTGAAATTGGAAATGTCATAATGTATGCTACATAAGTGTATCTGTGGTAGCCATATTTAATATATTATAGCACATTCCATTCATTTATCTATGCATTCCATAGATGCATTCATCCAGTTGTTTACTTAGCACACACACACAAGCCTATCACCCATGACCCCCTGACTGAATTTCAGGCCCTTTGAAATCCAAGAAAAAACATGAAATAAAATGTTGCCAACACATGATGTAGGGGCTACTTTAGTGTGAGAATATTATAAGGCCTATATGTATGATTTGTAAGATATTTTAATGACTAAATTACCTCTATTTAATGTTTAGTAATTCTAAATGTTTTCTTGTTTTCAAACATATATTACATGAAACATTACATTCAGGTCATTTATTAGATCTTAACAATTTGAATTGGTTTTAGACACAGCTGAGTCATTATGCACGGTCAATTAATTAGCCATTTGAAGCGTGCTGACACAACCCCATGGTAATCAGGTGATACGTCACTGCAACCACACTATTTAATTTCTGTTGGCTGATCGGCATGGTCAAATCTTATAGCCTAGATCAGAGAACAGGAATTGAGAGGAGTCACTTGCCCACATGATGCCGCCATTTGAGAAACCACAACACCCCAAGTCCTTCAAGCAGAGAAAAAGCTTTGGTGATTAATTTTCTTTAATGATTTGCATGTAGTAAGCTATGACATGTGTTGCTTTATAATCTCACCCACGTTTTCCATCCCACTCAGCCACGAGAAAACAGGAGGTCGCGGGGATCCGAACAAAGTTTCCAACTAAAATTCCGGTAAGTTCGCTTATTTCTAAAACCTTATTCAACCCTGAAGTTCCATTTAATTTGCACCTTCTAAAAGTAACCCCCTCCCCCCCAGGTTATAATTGAAAGGTATCAACGGGAGAAGTACTTGCCGCCTCTTGATAAAACGAAGTTCCTGGTCCCCCAAGAACTTTCCATGACTCAGTTTGTCACCATTATAAGGTGAGTCTCTTTAGAGAAACGTTTGGCTGTGAATGTGTTTATTTAACTTGGTAAACTTAGATTAACATGACTGAAATTGACCTAAATCATGTTTTTGGTTGCGAGAACTGGTGAGTAATTTCAAACTTGGTAATCACGTGATATGAATCAGCCACGAGTGCCGGGCGCGACTGTCACTTGTCATAAATTACTCATAATGACTTAAGTTTGCAGGACAATTTCAACATTTGATTACGTCTTGTCAATACTTGCTGCACTTTCTCGTTTCAGAAATCGTATGTCTCTGATGCAGAGTCAAGCGTTCTACCTGCTCATCAATAATAGTGGCCTGGCCAGCATGTCTCTTACCATGGCACAAGTCTACAAGGACCACAAAGATGACGATGGCTTTCTCTACATGACATATGCTTCTCAAGAAATGTTTGGTAATTGTGTTGAGATCCGCGAGAAGTCATTGCCAATTGCTGGAAATGTCTGAGAAGACCTAAATTGCAGGATTGGTTAATGTGAGGCCTCAGCTTTTGGCAGGCCCAATAACTGAACTTCGTGTATAGCTATAAAGTGCGATTTATATATAAGGATATTTATTATTACTTTGGAAATATTTTTGTATTGTTTTTAAGGTAATAAATGTTTCAAACTTTTGAGGATCATGCTCTGAATTACTTGACTTTGGCCATATTGCTTAAAGCGGTGATAAAACTTTTTGGGCGACCAATCAAATTCGCATGGAAATCGGAGTTGTAGGTTTGTCATTCTCGTTCAAAGTAAGTCTAAGAAGCGGTAGATCTGTTCTGTACTCTATTTCTATTAGTAGTTTTTGTATTATTTTTTTGGTTTGTATGCCAGCTTCAAACAGCTGAAAATAAAATGTTTCTTTATAGAAAAGTGATTTCACAGTGGTGTAGATGGTACAATGATTCTCTTTTTGGTCACAATCTGAAATTGCGCGAATTTAGCACTTTAGCAACCACGACATGGCGGAGCGACGTCTGCATATTGCACCTTAAACAAAAAATTAATATTGTCACTCAAACGTGCTTTTTCCATACATTTAATTTCCCAGAAATGTGTAGACTTGTACATTGCCTTTTAATAGGACATCTGAGGCATCAATTATAAAGGAAGGACCTGTTGACACCTTGCCCAATTCCCTACCTAGCAAAAGAGCAGTAACTGCTCAGAGTAAAACAGAATGACTTGTTTTATTGTCCAGCCAAATCAATTGTAGGCAGGTCATTGGAGGTGTGGTTCTGTCTTACTATGAGGTTATTTTTATTCATATTGACTGACATGACCTTTGGCCCTAGCTGACAGTTACTGCCTTCTTGCTTGGTACACTCACTGGAATACGTTTCCATGATTGGAAAAAATAGTTTTACACAAACTTGTGTTAATATATTTGTATGTGGCTGTCAGTGTCATAGTTTGATACTTGTATCAGCAAATAACAAATAATTCCAAGGTCAACTGTAGACACTAATGTGTGTGTGTGATGGCAGTTACTGCCTTCTTGGTTTCACAAACTTGCATTTACTGCAAACATGATAAAGCATGTATTTAATGTATAAACATTTTCAACTCATTTTTGACCAAATGCACAGTTACTGCTCTTTTGCTTGGTAGGGCAGTATACTACATCTAGGTACTTGTATGTATCTGATTGGTCAAAAGACCAGATTATGAAAGATCAGAACTATTCCTATTCAATCCACTATGGGTCCCTTTTTTGCCATAATGGGGATCAGACCTCTGTTTAAATACCTTTCAAATCTGTACTTGATTAAACTAAACCAATAGAATAGCCCCAAAACCACAACCCTCTCCTATCTGGCACTCCAGGCAGGCTAGATAACACAAAGTATTTGAATCAAGATGATGGAGATTGAAGCTTCAGAGAACTGCATTCAAAGGGGGACTTCCCGAATAGGAACAATACTCCTGAAGGGGGCATGTTGTTCCACATCTTAAGTCTGTTCTACATGACTGCACAGTATGGTTTGTATTTTTAGATTTTGGATCTTGTAAGGCTGAAGTTCTTGAAGGATTTTGAGTGTAGAGGCTGCAAAATGTATACTAGTAAGAGAACCATTCCAACTTCTAGAAAACAATTTTGGTAGTGTAGCCTAACCTAGCATATTTGACTGGACTGATGTATTTCAAACAGGAAGACTTGGTGTTGAAATTTCGTTGTGGCATGGACCCTGTAGCACTGTCACTGACTCACTGAGGTCCTATTGATCTTAAGGGACCACTTTTTGTCAGGAACATGAAATGCCTTGACTTCACTTCCTGAATGTAGTCGAGCCAAAGAGCAAGTAGACCATGCATCATCGTAATTGCGTTTCTCGTGGTTGTTTTAGTATTAGGGCTACAAAGAGGGGAAAGGGGCCCAATGTAGACTGACTCCATGACTACAGGGCCATATGGCAATGAAGAAGTATGAGCAATACTACTAAAACACCACAAAGAAGTTCCAAAATCAATGTGAGGTACATTTTTATGAGTCACAGGTCCTATTGAGATGTGAAGAATGCATAGAATATTTAGAATTGTCAATCCACTTTCTATCATGTGGAATAAAATGAGGAACTCCAGATTATGCACAACATGTCTGTATGGAGTGCTTAAGGCTGCATTTACACAGGCATCCCACTTCTGATATTTTGTCCTATTGGCAAAAGAGCTGAAATGATTGGTCAAAAGACCAATTTGTGGCAAAATATCAGAATTGGGCTGCCTGTGTGAACAGCCTAAATGTTGCAACTTGTGGCCCATAGATACAGTGAGGGAAAAAACTATTTGATCCCCTGCTGATTATGTACGTTTGCCCACTGACAAAGACATGATCAGTCTATAATTTTAATGGTAGGTTTATTTGAACAGTGAGAGACAGAATAACAACAACAAAATAAAGAAAAACGCATGTCAAAAATGTTATAAATTGATTTGCATTTTAATGAGGGAAATAAGTATTTGACCCCTCTGCAAAACATTACTTAGTACTTGGTGGCAAAACCCTTGTTGGCAATAACAGAGGTCAGACGTTTCTTGTAGTTGGCCACCAGGTTTGCACACATCTCAGGAGGGATTTTGTTCCACTCCTCTTTGCAGATCTTCTCCAAGTCATTAAGGTTTCGAGGCTTACGTTTGGCAACTCGAAACTTCAGCTCCCTCCACAGATTTTCTATGGGATTAAGGTCTGGAGACTGGCTAGGCCACTCCATGACCTTAATGTGCTTCTTCTTGAGCCACTCCTTTGTTGCCTTGGCCATGTGTTTTGGGTCAGTGTCATGATGGAATACCCATCCACGACCCATTTTCAATGCCCTGGCTGAGGGAAGGAGGTTCTCACCCAAGATTTGACGGTACATGGCCCTGTCCATCGTCCCTTTGATCCGGTGAAGTTGTCCTGTCCCCTTAGCAGAAACCCCCCCCCCCCCCCCCCCCAAAGCATAATGTTTCCACCTCCATATTTGACGGTGGGGATGGTGTTCTTGGGGTCATAGGCAGCATTCCTCCTCCTCCAAACACAGCGAGTTGAGTTGATGCCAAAGAGCTTGATTTTAGTCTCATCTGACCACAACACTTTCACCCAGTTCTCCTCTGAATCATTCAGATGTTCATTGGCAAACTTCAGACGGGCCTGTATATGTGCTTTCTTGAGCAGGGGGACCTTGCGGTCGCTGCAGGATTTCAGTTCTTCACGGCGTAGTGTGTTACCAATTGTTTTCTTGGTGACTATGGTCCCAGCTGCCTTGAGATCATTGACAAGATCCTCCCGTGTAGTTCTGGGCTGATTCCTCACCGTTCTCATGATCATTGCAACTACATGAGGTGAGATCTTGCATGGAGCCCCAGGCCGAGGGAGATTGACAGTGCTTTTGTGTTTCTTCCATTTGCGAATAATCACACCAACTGTTGTCATCTTCTCACCAAGCTGCTTGGCGATGGTCTTGTAGCCCATTCCAGCCTTGTCTACAATCTTGTCCCTGACATCCTTGGAGAGCTCTTTGGTCTTGGCCATGGTGGAGAGTTTGGAATCTGATTGATTGATTGCTTCTGTGGACAGGTGTCTTTTATACAGGTAACAAACTGAGATTAGGAGCACTCCCTTTAACAGTGTGCTCCTAATCTCAGCTTGTTACCTGTATAAAAGACACCTAGGAGCCAGAAATCTTTCTGATTGAGAGGGGGTCAAATACTTATTTCCCTCATTAAAATGCAAATCAATGTATAACATTTTTGACATGTGTTTTTCTAGATTTTGTTGTTGTTATTCTGTCTCTCACTGTTCAAATAAACCTACCATTAAAATTATAGACTGATCTTTTCTTTGTCAGTGGGCAAACGTACAAAATCAGATCAAATACTTTTTTCCCTCACTGTATGGGGTGGTCACAGGTCTGCAAGGGACTGGACACTTTCCTTGACAGGGCAGGGAGATTGGTGAACCCAGAACAATGTGAATCACTTTCTGAATTCCAAATAAACCCCTAGCCCCTATTCCTAAATCCCTCCTGTAGCTCTAAGAGGATTTAATTATATTTTATTTTGGGTAAAATAATACATCCATTTGATCCCAGAGTATAGGCCTATCACTTGAAACACTTATTTCCAAAATGGTCCTCAAAGGATCATAGTGACATGAACAAGTACATTTTCTTTGTAGAAGAAAGCTATGTTTTAAAGATGCTTATTTTAGGTACATTTGTATTACTTTCTGGATATTAGTGAAAATTGATTTCAAGCTTGTGAGTTGTAATTAAAATGTGTTCTGTAGATACTGTAGTGAAATGTTTATCTGACTCCATAAAGGTTATTTAGCAATATGCAAGAACACCATAGTTGAGTTACTGTAATAGGTGATTAAGAAATGTCTGAGAATTGTCTATATCAAAGGCAGATATTTAATTAACATTGTACAATGACTGGATTCACATACAAGGCATATGGCTTAAGTTACAAAGCATTAACAAGCATTACAAGGCATTATCCTAAGCATGGTCAGAGAGAGAGAGAGAGAGACAGAGAGAGAGAGAGAGAGAGAGAGAGAGAGAGAGAGAGAGAGAGAGAGAAATCATAGCCTGAAAGGCCATGTCCCAAAAGTCCATGGGGTGTAGAGAGAAAGAAAGAAAGAGAGAGAGTATCTCACCACAGCAGTTCAGGAACAAAAAAAGAGAAGGAACAATGAATCTAATACCCTTTTATAAGCATCTGAGTTGTTTGGATTCAAAATCTGAGTTGTTGACCAATAGTATTACTGTAGAGTTAACCTCCAATCAGATATCAGACCTACAGTACATGATGTAACCTCTGGAAAATGGGGGTTGGAGACATAGGAATGCTGAATTCCTAAGACAACACAGAGGAAATTATTGCATAAAGTTGATATGAAGAGTCACTTCGGGAGATGCCCTACAAGATAGAAACGGATATGCTTCTGCACGGAAACTTTTATTAAGTGACTATATCACTGACCGCAAGGGGGAGCCCAAGATCCATAGAATATGTTGAGCTGTTGTGATGGTTAAATAAGTTCAATATCAGTCAGCACTGCAGGCACCTGATATTCAGTC